GAAAAGAAAATTAGATAGTGAAGAAAGACAAGAGAGAGGTATATATGGATTTAGAGCAAGGGATTGAAAATTAGATATATGAGTAGGGTGAAATTTAGACAGTGGGTAAAAAGAAGGAATAGGGAAAATCTAAAGCAGGAATAGGGTAAGAGAAACAGGACAACAAAAGGGGAAAAGTGAGGAAGAGAGTATTGGCTTAAGGGTAAAGGTGAAATAGAGAGAAATGATGCGAAAGGAACGATGAATATAGAGTATAGAACACTCATCCCAAAATAAAATAAGGAAAAAAATAAAGTGACACTTTAAAAAATAGTAAAATGATAGCAATAATACTGGTTAAAAATAAAAATGTAGTAATTAAAAAGGTAAAATCAGGTGAAAAAAAATAAATAAAATAGGTTCTTAATTGAAAGGTGAAAAAAGAATTAAAAAAATAAAATAAAAATGTGCAGTAGTGAAGGTGCTTCAGATCTTCTACTCCTCTTTTTGGCATGCTTTAGACCTGCCACGTATTCAGGAGAATGTTGAATTTCCCTGTGATACACTGTTCCTCCGTGTTTTAAACAACAGTCCTGATTTTAAGGCAGGCTGTATTTGTTTCCCAGACTGCCTTTATTTGTATTTACAGAAGAGTCAGTTCGTGGCTCTGCCTCTGGGTGGCAGTTTGTCTGGTTTGACCTCCGAGGCTATAAGTCCTCTCTATCCAGTAGGGTTTATTTTCTCTATTGTACTTGAAACTGGTTTGGGAAAGTCCACTGCCCAGAGCTGGTTCTTTAATCATTACTCCCCGCTCTGTTTCCCAGGCTCCCCCAAAACAACTTACCCTTACAGGCTCTGCGAGTGACCCCAACTGAGAAATCCCATGCACTGGGTTTAATAATCAAACGCACAGGTCTAAGGGGAAGTGTAAAAACAAGAGCCTGAGAAGTTGTGCGAATTCGCAAGCCTCCACCTTCCAGGTCTGTGCGCAGTCTCCGCGCGCCCACTCGCCCCTGGCACCAAGCAGCCGGCAAACTGGCAAAATCTGAGGCTGCTTTTTTGCATCTAGTCCAGCTATGGGCTTATTTTAGCGTTCCCTTCTGCCAGCAGCCCTGCGGGAGCCCTTCCACACTCGCGGATCATGCTGGCCCCAATGGCTGTGGACTCTGTGGGGCGCAGATTTCCCCCCGCGCGCATTTCTCTCTCCAAACTGAATTGCAAACTGCACCTTTAGGGGAAGTCTAACCTTTTTCCGTGAGAAGAAGCAGTGCTCGTCTGAGTTCACGCAGTCGCGCTGCTTGAGATCCGTTGTTTCCAGGTTAGTAGCTGATCTCTGGATGCTGGTAACAGCCACTCAAGATGGCGCAGTCTCTGCGACTGAACAGGCGCACCAGGAGAGATTTTAGCCGCAGTCTCCAACCGTCCCCTTTTTCCCATAGTTCTCTGTCTTTCCCGGCTGCAAACTGTCTCTCAGCTGAATATCCACTGCCTATTCGGGCTGTATGTTACCCGTTTCAGCTGCTCACCCTTATCTGCTCCGGGACAAGGCACAGGACACGTCTGTCTATACCTCTGCCATTTTCCCTCTTGAATGCTATATTTTTGTGTGTGGGTTTTTGTTTTTTTGTTTTTAAAAAAAAACAACAACACATATTTATTGAATGCTACCTTTGAAGTCAAAACCAGAAAAGGAGCAGAGTAGCTTTAAAATGAATTTTAAAATAATTCATGCCAATGTTTTAAAGGCTCTTCAAATGAGATGTAGACAGGGTAAATGCAGTGATATTGCAGCAGGTAGGATAAGTCATTTATTAAATACATTCCATTCTGTCAAATACCATTAAGAATAAAAAAGGCTGCCTCTAGAAGACTTAGTGCTTTACAATATCTTTTCATTTGTAGTGCTTTAGTTATCTAAATTCTAGAAATTCCTTGTGAATTATCTTGTTTTGTATTTAAAGAGTCTCTTCAAAATCTATTTGGTTTCTGAGTTCAGATACTAAAGAATATGATTTGATTTCCAAGTTTCAGAAAGTGAGTAGCAAGTTTGAATAAGTATTTATTAGAAACAATTTGTTCCTAAATTCAGATTGTGATCATTTTTTTTCAATTTATTACTAAATTTGATTTGCTAATTTATAACATCACATTTTCATAACTGATTCTGGACATTCAGTTTGACTATTTAACAAGGCTAAGATTAGAAGCCCCCACCCTCCAACTGTCAAAAATCTGCTTATAATTTTTGACTCCCCCCCCAAAAGTGACTACAGTTTGCCCTTCACATCTGTGGTTTCAACCAACCGTGGATCAAAATCTGTTGGGAATTTTCAAACAACTGTTGGGAATGCAAAAATACTATTTTCAAGCCATAGTTGGTTGAATCTACAGATTCAAAACTGTGGATAAAAAGCACTGACTGTATTTATTATAAAAAATCTGTGTGGAAGTGATTTAAAATCTGTGTTGTTTGAAGGTCAACTGTATTATCTTCCTTTGTGTTCTCCTAGATAGTTTTAACATTAGAATTATGAAATATTCATAGAAATAGATAATTTGCTCTCTAATATCTCAGTCTGGAAGAGTTCCCAAACATTTCATAGGTTTTATCTATAAATATATCTAGGGCAGGGGTGGGCAACCTTTTTGACCCGAGGGCCACAATGGGTTCTTAAACTGGACCGGAGGACCAGAACAAAAGCATGGATGGAGTGTTTGTGTGAACTAATATAAATTCAAAGTAAACATCATTACATAAAAGGGTACGGTCTTTTTTTTTTTTTTTTAGTTTTATTCATTTCAAATGGGCAGGATACGGCCAGCGGCCATAGTTTGCCCACGGCTGATCTAGGGTGATGTCTTCTTTAGTAGCTGTGTGACATTTAAAGTATTTTTAAATCTATTTTTAATCAACGAAACATTTTTATCACTGAAAAAGATCTAGTCCTTTCAAATGTAAATATGTGGTCATGTCATTGTCTCATTCACAATGCTATTTGTCATCCTTACTTCCTTACATGAATCACAAAAGTTTGTCTTTTTTTCAGTCAAATCATAAAAATTTCTATTTTAGATTACTTACTTTTTTCTTTTACTTATTTAAGCATTTTATAACTAATAATGCCTTCTCTACCCCATGTTTTAGATTTTTTTGTTTAACTCCTTGTGTTATACATTGATTTTGTTTCTTAATGATCTTTCTAATATTGTAATATAAATATATATATATATATATATATACACACACACACATATTGGGTTATAAAACCCCCTATATAACTTTGATTGCCACTCACAGGTTTTTCAATTGTTCTCACTTTTGTTCACATTTAAGTAATGTGTATAATAAGGATTTAGTTCCTTAACCAGTTAACTGCCACGATATTTTTAATTTAATTAAAAAAGGTCCACCACTGCATCTATAGATGCTTATGGTGGACAAATGGTTAACCCATGTTGATCAAGGGAGCAAAACATTTGGCCTACATATTTTCTGCTTTGGGGGAACTAATTACTAGGAAAAATATTTTCATCATTTCCTACTTCAACACTTGTGCTTTCACCTACCAATCATTATATCCATAGGGTTTAAGGCTAGTATTCATCTTTGTGCAGCATAAACGATGAAGTCTGAATTGAGACTACTCACACAGTTTTCCTTTTCCTTTTAAAAACCCATGCTGAATAATGAGTGATGAGAAAAGCTTTCTTATACACATTACACTCATTTCTTTTTTCATTGCACATTCTTTGATTTATACAAAGGTAAACAACATGGTTTAAATCCTTCCCACTAATAATAAGGTAAATATGAAAATTAGTATATCAATGATAAAAACGGACAACTTTTACTAAGCACTTAGTATGTGATATAGTCCTAATACTTTAAATTTATTCATTCATTGAATCCTCATAACAAACCAATAGATATAGCATGATTATATTCACTGTACATGAAATAAAACATATGAAATACCACTAACACCTATCAATAAAAAGTAAAAAAAAAAAATCTAGAAGGATGACAACATTTTTATAATAGTGGTTAAAAACCTCCTAGTATGAGATTGGGATTAGGGCTAATGAAAAGGAACAGAAAAGTTTATAAGGAAAAGATGTGGATAATTTCAGCAATTAAAATACATTTTTTTAAAAGAAAAACACAAATCCAAAGATAAATTTTGGGTCATACTACTCAGGGCATGTGAACATTTAGATGCAACCATAACATGAATAATAAAGCCATTTTAAAAAGTCATTGAGTATAAGTCATTAAAAATAAAAAATCTACATTTGCTGAAATGGCAATCATATTTTTTGGCATGTTAAGAGCAGGTGAAGATACAATATGCATACCATGACTACACTTTCTTTAAAGACAAAGTATGGTAGGATGTACTCTACCAACTTGAGAGTAGTAATCTATAGTTACTCTGATTACAATTAATATTTGCTTTTTGGTTTCTGGTTTTTTTAAGAAAATATAAATTTCTGAGACAAAAATATTAACACTGATTTCAAAAGCAAGTTAAATTTCTACAGGAATTAAAAATACAAGATCACATAATTTAAGCACAAACACATAAATCAGAACAGAAAAAAATAGCCCTGAAACACAAGCAAATATAAAGAATAATATAACATTAACACCAAGAAGGTAGGACAAAATAATGGGAAAGAAAAGAATTACTGAATATCTGCCATTAGTACAATATTGGGGAAGCATGGATAAATGCCAATATAGACTCTCTCTCTCTCTCTCCATATATATATATGTAGTAATTATGAAAATTAGCATTTATATGAATGAAAACAAATAGTGAAAGATGGTAACTCTCTAACATTAATTGTTGTTTAGAATATTAGGGCCGAAACCGGTTTGGCTCAGAGGATAGAGCATCGGCCTGCGGACTGAAAGGTCCCAGGTTCGATTCCGGTCAAGGGCATGTACCTGGGTTGCGGGCATATCCCCAGTAGGAGATGTGCAGGAGGCAGCTGATCAATGTTTCTCTCTCGTCGATGTTTCTAACTCTATCTCTCTCCCATCCTCTCTGTAAAAAATCAATAAAATATATTTCAAAAAAAAGAATATTAGGAAGAGCTTTAACTTTCATTATTCATCAGTATGAATTCCCTGATGACGAATGAGATCTGACCCACTACTAAATGCCTTCCCACATTCCCTACAGTTATAGGGCTTTTCACCAGTATGAATTCTCAAATGTCGAGTAAGGTTTGAGCATTTATTAAAAGCCTTTCCACATTCATTACATTCATATGGTTTTTCATCTGTATGAATTCTCTGATGTTGAAAAAGTTGTGAGTTCTGAGTAAAGGCTTTCCCACATTCGAGACATTCAAAAGGTTTCTCACCAGCATGAATTCTCTGATGTTGTCTAAGTTGTGAGCTCTGAGTAAAAGCCTTGCCACATTCCTTACAATTATAGGGTTTTTCCCCAGTGTGGATTCTCTGATGATTAGTAAGTGCTGAGCCACTACTGAAGGCTTTGCCACATTCCTTACACTCATAGGGTTTTTCACCAGTATGAATTCTCTGATGCTGAACAAGCTTTGAGCTCTGAGTAAAAGCTTTGCCACATTCCTTACATTCGTAGGGTTTCTCACCTGTATGAATTCTGGCATGTTGAAAAAGTTGTGAGCTCTTAGTAAAAGCTTTCCTACATACTTTACATTCATAGGGTTTTTCACCAGTGTGAATTCTCTGATGGTCAATAAGATTTGAGCAATAACTAAAGGCTTTCCCACATTCCTTACATTCATAGGGTTTCTTACCAGTATGAATTCTCTGATGTTGAGAAAGGTATGAGCTACAACTGAAGGCCTTTCCACATTCATTACATTCAAACGGTTTTTCACCAGTATGAATTTTCAGATGTCGAGTAACATGTGAGCCACAGCTAAAGAATTTCCCACACTCCTTACATTCATAAGATTTTTCACCATTATGAATTCTTTGATGTTGAATAAATTGTGAATTCTGATTAAAGACTTTCCCACATTTCTTGCATTCGTAAGGTTTCTCTTCATTATTAATTATTTGATGCAAAGTAAAGAATGTCTGTTGAATATATGCGGGCATATATCTATGAGTAAATATTTCTTGGCTGAAATGACCATTCTGATATCCCAGTTGTCTTTCAAGGTGGCTGCCATATTCCAAAACATCTCTATAATGAGAATACTCAAGGCCATACTTTGTAAGTCCCATTATCTCCCTCTGGCATGATTCTATTTCATAAACTTCCTTCTTTAGAGATAATAACTTGGTTTCACACATTGACTCCAGATCTGAAAGAAAAGAAAATAGCAAATATTACTTCTGTCCCATTTGTGAAACGTTAAACTTTTATAATAGAAATGAAAAAATTTAAGATATCTGGTAGTAAATGACATACAGTTCTCAAGTATATTTGTTTAATCTGAAAAATGGACTAGAAATGTATAGAATGTAGTGAGATATAGTCATCCATGTACCCCATAATGACATTTTAGTCAAATTTGGACCACATCTGCAGTTGTGGTCTCATACTATATGATAAAAGGGTAATATGCAAATTGACCAAACGGTGGAACAACCAGTCACTATGATGAGCACTGACCACTAGGGGGCAGACGTTCAATGCACGAGCTGCCCCCTGGTGGTCAGTGCACTCCCACAGGGGGAGTGCTACTCAGCCACACGCTGGGCTCATGGCTGGTGAGCGCAGCTGCGGTAGCAGGAGGCTCTCCCACCTCCATGGCAGTGCTAAGGATGTCCAACTGCCGGCTTAGGCCTGCTCCCCATGGGCCTAAGCCATCAGTCAGACATCCTCTGAGAACTCCCAGACTGTGAGAGGGCACAGGTCAGGCTTAGGGACCACCCCCTCCCCAAGGGCACAAATTTTGTGCACCAGGCCTTTAGTAAATACATAATGGAACTGAAAAATTCTTATTGCCTAGTTACATCCTAGATGTTCTAAGGTTGTGACGAAATATACTACTCATGTTTGTGGTGAAGCTGGTGTAAACAAACCTACTGCACTTCCAGCTATATAAAAGTATAGAACACACAATGACAGTAGTAAGATATGTCATCTAGGTTTGCGTAACTATGATGTTCACAAAGTGATGAAATCACCTAATGATACTTTTTCAGAACGTATCCCTTTTGTTAAGTGGTGCAGGACTGTATAATGCAGAAAGCGGAAAGAAGAGACTATGGACATAGAAAACTACAATCCTTCTGAAATACTCATATGAATCAGAATCATCTGGAAAGACTGGTAAATATACAAAGCTTAGGGCATATGAAAAAATGATAGTTTTATATACATCTATATAAGCATGCATGTATGCATATATACTATAAAAACTGGATAATTTTCTGACCTCCATTAAAGTCTCTTGAAAGAAATAAATCCATGGCCTGAACCAATATGCTCAATTAATATTTGACAAAGGAGGCAAGAACATACAATGGAGCCAAGATAGTCTCTTCAATAAATGGTGTTGGGAAAATTGGACGAATGCATGCAAGAAAATGAAACTAGACCACCAACTTACACCACACAAAAATAAACTCAAAATGGATAAAGGACTTAAATGTATGACAGGAAACCATAAAAATTCTAGAAGAATCCAAAGGCAACAAAATCTCAGACATATGCCGAAGCAATTTCTTCACTGATACAGCTCCTAGGGCACTTGAAACTAAAAAGAAAATGAACAAATGGGACTACATCAAAATAAAAAGCTTCTGCACAACAAAAGAAACCATCAACAAAACAATAAGAAAGCCCACTGCGTGGGAAAACATATTTGCCAATGTCATATCTGATAAGGGCCTAATCTCCAAAATTTATAGGGAACTCTTACAACTTAACAAAAGGAAGATAAACAATCCAATCAAAAAATTGGCAAAGGACCTAAATAGACACCTTTCAAAGAGGACATTCAGAAAGCCAAGAGACATATGAAAACATGATCAAAGTCACTAATCATCCAAGAGATGCAAATCAAAACAACAATGAGGTACCATCTCACACCTGTCAGAATGGCTATCATCAACAAATCAAGAAACGACAAGTGCTGGAGAGGATGTGGAGAAAAAGGAACACTCGTGCACTGCTGGTAGGAATGCAGACTGGTGTAGCCACTATGGAAGACAGTGTGGAGTTTCCTCAAAAAACTACAAATGGAACTCCCATTTGACCCTGTGATCCCACTTCTAGGAATATATCCCAAGAAACCAGAAACACCAATCAGAAAGGATATGTGCACCCATATGTTCATAGCAGCACAATTCACCATAGCTAAGATCTGGAAACAGCCTAAGTGCCCATCAGTAGATGAATGGATTAGAAAACTGTGGTACATCTACATGATGGAATACTATGCTGCTGTAAAAAAGAAGGAATCTTACCATTTGCAATGGCATGGATGGAACTGGAGAGCATTATGCTAAGTGAAATAAGCCAGTCAATGAAGGAAAACACCACATGATCTCACTCATTCATGGATAATAAAGACCATTATAAACTTATGAACAAAAATAGATACAGAGGCAGAGCTGCCTCAAACAGATTGTCAAACTGCAGTGGGAAGGCCGGGGAGGGTTGGGGGGCAGGAGGGAAGGGGGTAAAAGATCAACTGAAGGACTTGTATGCATGCATATAAGCATAACCAATGGACATAAGACACTGGGGGGTAGGGGAGGCCAGGGGATTTTCAAGGCGGGGGGGGGGGGGATAGGACACATATGTATTACCCTTTGTAATACTTTAAGCAATAAAACAATAAAAAAAATTAAAAAAAATAAAAAAGAATAAACTCAGCCTTGGCCGGTTTGGCTCAGTGGATAGAGCATCGGCCTTGGGACTGAAGAGTCCCAGGTTCAATTCCGGTCAAGGGTAAGTACCTTGGTTGGGGCACATCCCCAGTAGGGGGTGTGCAGGAGGCAGCTGATCGATGCTTCTCTCTCATCAATGTTTCTAACTCTCTATCCCTCTCCCTTCCTCTCTGTAAAAAATCAATTAAAAAAAAAGAAAGAAAGAAATCCATAGAGGGGAAGATTCTTGGTTTTTGATATAATAAAAAAAATGAATTTGGTCTTTGTACCTGGTTCCTATCATAGAGCTTCAACAACTCTTGGAATTTCTTGTATGATAGAAGTATTTTTGTTATGCTAATCAAGTCAAACATAGTAGGTCCAAAGATAGCTTTGGGATAGACATTGGTCACCAGAAACACCAAACATGTGATTAGAAGTTTAGGACTTTCATTTTCTCAACTTCTGGAGAGATAAGAGGAACCAGAAATTGAGTGGTCAATGACTCAATTAATCATGTGAATATAAATAAATCACAATAAAAATTCTGGACACTAAAGCTTGCTACCTGAACACACTGAAATGCCAAAAGGGTGATGCATTTTACTCAACAGTGATAGAGGGTATGGAACCTCTGCATCTGGGAGCCTCCCAGACCTTGGCCTAATATATATCCTTTACAGTAAAACTGCAACTGTAAGTATAGAGCTTTCTGAGTTCTGTGTTATTCCAGCAAATCATTAAAACTGCAAGAGTCATAGAAAGCCCCAACTTTATAGCCAGTTGGTTAGAAGTATGGGTGTTCTGAGGACCCCCTGAGACTTACAGCTGGCAGCTGAAGTAAAGGCTGTATTGTGTAGGATTTTGCTATTAATTTACAGGGTCTATGTAAACTCTGGGTAGTCAGTGTTAGAATTAAACTGCTGCACACTCAGTTGGGGCAGAAACAATAGGCTCCATAATAAAGGATATATTGGATGGAATATGAAAGAGATTACAGAGGGCAAGCCACATGAGGGAATAGCCTGAGATAAATCTAAGGATTGAACTATTTTGATGTGAGTGGCGGATAGGGAAGACTCAGAATCTGTTATGTGCGAGGGATTAGGTGAAACTATTGTGTGCCTTAGAATTTTGTGATGCTCATTTTAGAAGAGAGACACTTGCTCATTACCACCTGTAGTGACTAAGAGGAGTGGCAGCTGAAGTTTAAGGCAGACAGAAAGAAAATGACAAAGTGCTAAACACTGCAATGGAAAGATGATAGGAACAAGAAGCAGACTGATAAGCTGAGTACCAACTCTGACACTAACTCATTATATGTTCCTAGGCAATTATTTAACCTTTCTAAATCCCTACTTCTTTATCTGTAAAGATAAAGAAATGATTACTGGAAGGGTGATGAAATGTTTGTAATTATCTCTCAATAAAGTGTTCAGTATTTGACAGGTATTATTATGAAAGAATTTCTTATCAAAAAGTAGAATTTTTAAGCTAATGAAATGATTTGAAGACATCAAAATGGAGCTTATTAGAACATCTCTAGTATAATCTTTTTTACTCATACCTCTATATAACCTTTCAACAATTTTAAGCTCCAAAGTAACTTAAAACTATCATCTTCTATTTCCACTGTTAATGCCCTCTTCCAAACCAGAATTATCTCTTACTCAGACCACTAAAATAGCCTCCTAACCCAGTTTCCCCAGCAAGTTTCACACTCAGTAATCAATTCAGGGACCAAAAATGCACTTGCCTTGGCCTTCTACTACAAAAATCCATACTTCTCATAATACCAGCAGAGGCTGAGTAATGTGGTTCCTATCTGTCTTTCCAACCTCGACTCACATTTCACTCTTGCTTGCTCATGGGGCCCAGCAATACTGGCTTTCTTTCAGTTCTTCAAACACACCAACCTTTCCCCTCCTAGAAGGGCTTTCACAGGGGTTCTTCCCTCTTCTTGGAGTTTTCTTCTTTATTAACACACTGAATAGTAAGGTCTAGCAGTAAACCTAGTACTATAGTAGTTATGAAATAGTGATGAGCACAAATAATAATTCAGTATGTTGATTTCCATTCATGTCAAAATCATGGAACAAATACTATTATGGTTTGCTGCATATACCATAATTGGAAGAAATACTAAGTTTCACTTAGAGTTTACTAAATATCAATTTTTTTTTATGTTTTTAGAGATGGAGGGAGAGAGAGAAAAACATTGATATGAGAGACACTGATAGACTGCATCCTGTGCAAGCCCCAACCAGGGGCTGACCCTGCAATCTAGGTATGTGCCCTGACTGGGATTCAATCCCATGATCTTCTAGTGCATGAGATGACTCTCCAACCAACTGAACACTGGCCAGGGCAAGATGCATTTTCCTCCTTCTCATCTAAGTTCATTGACTCCCTAAATTCTGTACAAAGAAATCCAAAATTAGCAATCTCTGAGTTAGAGTATTCCTTTAAAAACATGTTGTCACTCCTCTACTCAAATCACCTCATTCAGAATAAAATAGCTTTGCACCTACCTCATTTAGAACAGAATTCAAAGTCCATACCTAAGTCCACAAAATCCAAATCACCTGCAGGTACACCCTTCCTCCCACATGTACCTAGCACACCAACACTCCATACATCCTGCTACTTTGTTGATCTCCTTTCACACAATTCCCTCTTGCTCACACAATGGCAGAAGCCCAAATGCTAGAAGCTATACTGAAGACTAGTTGAAGGGGAAGAGCAGTGCATATATACAAATGCATGTATGCACACACACACACACACACATCTTATTTTGGGGGTGGTAACAGAAAACATTTAGATGAGTCTAAGAGAAAGAAAGGCTAATAATGAACTGAAACTTAAATATGGGTAAAAGTTTTCTTTGGAGGGGAAGTGAAGGAAACCTACTTGAAATTAAGTGGTGTGTTAAAGAATAATAATAAAAAGATTAGTAAGTGAGGGAAGAAATGAAATAGGTCATTTATAAACTCATGGTAAAAAAAAAACAACACAAAAACTTATTTTTTTCTCCCAGGCCTAGTGTTTTGATGGGAGCTTCTAAGATAATATCTTGAAGACACTGTTTCCTTACGGATTAGTTAAGTTATTACCTATGATGCCCTGCTTTGTTCAATCATTTCTTACTTACCTGAACACAGGCCTCTTGTCAGTTCTCTGCCAACCATCCAGGGCTCTTTCCCTTGTTCCAATAAGGAGATAACATGAGGCTTAGGTATGTAAAGTCCTGCTCACAAGAAAAGATACAAAACATGGTTATGCTATGGGTAAGTCAGATCCATGTAAGATGCAGTCCCTTGATGATCAAAAAAGAGATGCCACTACAGGAATAGCAAAAGAAAAAAGATGAAGCTTCAGCCATAGCCAATTGGAACTTTCAGTTTAGTATTCTTCTTTTTCATTTCAGTTCCAACCATTTGTTGAGGAATAGAGAACAGGAATTCAGCTAGAAACTAAAAAAGCAGCTAAGAAATTCACTGTGGAAGAAAACAGACATTCCAGAAGAGAACTCTAAATTATTGGTATGAATGACATTACCCACTGATAGCAGATTGCTGTAGTTCTCCAGCATTACATGTTTGTACAAGTCCCTCTGAGCTGGGTCCAGGCATTCCCACTCCTCCTGAGAGAAATCTATGGCCACATCCCTGAATATCATTGATTCCTGAAACAATAAAGACATGTATACTTGTGTAAGAAAAGAAACACTTCAGGCTTCTGTAGCCCACGCCCATCCAAGGAACAGCAGCCTCCTGATCACCACACCCTCTGTCTGAGGAACAGCAGCTGTGTGTGAAGCCTCCCCCCACCAGCCAGAGGAGCCACCACAACTCTGAACAGAACCCGCCAGAGGACCTGCTACCAACTGAGGAGCAGCTGCTACCACAACCACCCGAGGAGCAGCCACAGCCCGAGGAGCCACTGCCACCCAAGGAGCAGCCACTGAACGACTCACCATCTAGATATGGTGGTACGATCAAACATGGGTAGACAAAGAAACCCCCAACTGAAAAAAAGGAGGAATCGCCAGAAAAGCAGCTAAGTGATACAGAGGCATGCGACATGACAGAAAAGAATTCAGATTAAGGGTCCTAGAGTGCATAAACCGGATGGACGAAAAAATCAACAACTGATGCAAGAAGCAAGAAGAAACAGATGAAAAAATCAATACATTATGGAAGAACCAAGAAGAAATGAAGAGTGATATAGCTGCAAAAAAAAAAACACCATTGAAAGTTTCAACAGTAGACTAGGAGAAGCAGAGAACCGAATTAGCGAATTAGAAGACAGAGGAACAAAACACACCCAAACTGAACAGCAATTGGAGAAAAAAATTAAAAGACAGGAGGAGAGTCTAAGGGAGCTATGGGACAACATGAAACGAAACAACATATGAATAATAGGGGTGCCAGAACAACAGAAAGAGGAACAAGGGTTAAAAAACCTATTTGAAGAAATAATATCAGAAAACTTCCCTGAGGTGGGGAAGAAAAAAATCACACAAGCACAGAGAGTCCCAAACAAGGTGAACCCCAAAACACCCACAACAAGACACATCATAATTACCATGGCAAATGTTCAGGACAAAGAGAGAATCTTACAGGCTGCAAGAGAGAGACGGAAAGTTACGTACAAGGGATCTCCCATTATATTATCAAATGAGTTCTCAACAGAAACACATCAGGCCAGAAAAGAATGGACAGATATTTACAAAGTGATGCAAAGCAAAAGACTGAATCCAAGAATACTCTATCCAGCAAGGCTATCATTCAAAATTGAAGGGGAAATAAGAAGCTTCACAGACAAAAAAAGGCTAAGGGACTTTATCACCACCAAGCCAGCAATGCAAGAAATGCTAAAAGGAATGGTGTAAAAAGAAGAAATAAAAAGCTCAGAAAGAAAACAGCCACACAAAAAAAGAAATGGCTACCTTTCAATAATAACTTTAAATGTAAATGGACTAAATGCTCCAACCAAAAGACATCAAGTGGCTGAATGGATAAAAAACATGACCCATGTATTTGCTATCTACAAGAGACCCACATTATTAAAAGGGACTCACACGGACTGAAAGTGAAGGGATGGAAAAATATCTTTCAGGCAAATGGAAATGAAAAAAAGGCTGGGGTAGCAATACTTATATCAGACAAAATAGACCTCAAAGTGAAGGCCATAACAAGAAATAAGGAAGGCCACTTCATAATACTAAAGGGATCAACACAACAAGAGGATATAACCCTGATAAACATATCTGCACCCAATGCAGGAGCACCCAAATACATGAAAAAAACTCCTGGAAGATATCAGGGGAGAGATCGACAACAATACAATCATAGTAGGGGACTTTAATACACCACTGACATCACTGGATAAATCCTCTAGACAAACAATCAGCAAAGAAACAGCAATCCTAAATGACTCACTAGATCAGATGGACTTAATTGACATCTTCAGAACACTTCACCCCAAAGCCACGGAATATACATTCTTCTCAAGGGCTTAAGGGACATATTCAAAAATAGACCGCATATGGGGTCACAAACAAAGTCTCCCCAAATTCAAGATGGTTGAAATCATACCGAGCATCTTCTCAGACCACAATGGCATAATATTTGAAATAAACTACAATAAAAACAACCCAAAATACTTAAACACTTGGAAGCTGAATAGCATGTTATTAAATATTGATTGGGTTACCAATGAGATCAAAGAAGAAATTAAAAACATCCTGGAAACTAATGACAATGAAAACACAACAATCCAAAACCTATGGGACACAATGAAAGTGGTCCTGAGAGGGAAGTTTATAGCCCTACAGGCCTATCTCAAAAAACAAGAAAAAATGGTAGTAAATCATCTAACTCTACAACTCAAAGAATTAGAAAGAGAGAAACAAGAAAATCCCATAGTGAGCAGAAGGAAGGAGATAGTAAAGATTAGAGCAGAAATAAATGACATAGACACCAAAAAAACAATACATAAAATCAATGAAACAAAGAGCTGGTTCTTTGAAAGGATAAACAAGATTGACAGACCTCTAGCCAGGCTCACCAAGAAGCAAAGAGAAAGGATCCAAATAAACAAAATCAGAAATGATTGAGGCAAAATAATAACAGACCCCACAGAAATACAAATGACTGCTAAACAATACTATGGACAACTCTACTCCAACAAACTAGACAACCTGGAGGAAATGGACATATTCCTAGAAAAATACAACATTCCAAAACTTAATCAGGAAGAATCTAAAAATCTCAACAGGCCAATAACTATGGAAGAAATTGAAGCAGTCATCAAAAAGCTTGAGCAAACAAAAGCCCAGGACCATACGGCTTCACAGAGGAGTTTTACCAAACATTCAAGGAAGAACTAAAAGCTATCCTCCTCAGACTACTACAAAAAATCCAAGAGGAAGGAACACTTCCAAGCTCATTCTATGAAGCCAGCATCACCCTAATACCAAAACCAGGTAATGACAACACAATGAAGGAGAATTATAGGCCTATATCCCTCATGAACATAGATGCCAAAATCCTCAACAAAATCTTAGCAAATCGGATCCAGCAGTACATCAGAAAGATCATACACTATGACCAAGTCGGATTCATCCCAGGGATGCAAGGATGGTACAATATCCGCAAATCAATAAATGTGATACATCACATAAACAAATTGAAAGAAAAAAACCACAGGGTTATATCAATTGATGCAGAAAAAGCATTTCACAAAATGCAACACCCATTTTTCATAAAAACTCTCAGCAAGGTGGGAATAGAAGAATCATACCTCAACATAATAAAAGCCATATACGAGAAACCCACAGCCAACATCATACTCAATGGACAAAAACTAACACCATTTCCACTAAGAACAGGAACAAGACAGGGATGCCCACTCTCACCACTCCTGTTCAATATAGTACTGGAAGTATTAGCCATTGTGATTAGACAGGAAGAAGAAATAAAAGGCATTCAAATTGGAAAAGAAGCAGTAAAACTGTCCTTATTCGCAGATGATATGATATTATACATAAAAAACACTAAAGACTCCATCAAAAAACTATTAGACTTAATAAATGAATTTGGCAATGTGGCAGGATACAAAATTAACACCAATAAATCTATGGCATTTCTATACACCAATAGTGAACTTACTGAAAGAGAGACTAAAAAAACAATCCCATTTACCATCGCACCAAAAAAATTAAGCTACCTAGGAATAAACTTAACCAAGGAGGTAAAAGACCTCTACTCAGAAAACTACAAGACGTTGAAAACAGAGATAGAGCAAGACATAAAGAGATGGAAGAACATACCGTGTTCTTGGATTGGTAGAACCAACATCATTAAAATGGCAATACTACCCAAAGCAATCTATAAATTCAACGCACTTCCCATTAAAATACCAATGGCATATTTCACAGGCCTAGAACGAACGTTCCAAAAATTCATCTGGAATAAAAAAAGACCCCGATAGCTGCAGCAATCCTGAGAAAGAACAAAGTAGGTGGGATCTCAATACCAGATATCAAGCTGTATTACAAAGCCACTGTTCTCAAAACTGCCTGGCATTGGCACAAGAACAGACATATAGATCAATGGAATAGAATAGAGAGCCCAGAAATTGGCCCAAACCAATATGCTCAATTAATACTTAACAAAGGAAGCAAGAACATCCAATGGAGTCAAGATAGTCTCTTCAATAAATGGTGTTGGAAAAATTGGACGAATACATGCAAGAAAATGAAACTAGACCACCAACTTACACCATACACAAAAATAAACTGAAAATGTATAAAGGACTTAAATGTATGATGGGAAACCAGAAAAATACTAGAAGAATCCAAAGGCAACAAAATCTCAGACATATGCCGAAGTAATTTCTTCACCCATACAGCTCCTAGGGCATTGGAAACTAAAGAGAAAATAAACAAATGGGACTACATCAAAATAAAAAGCTTCTGCACAGCAAAAGAAACCATCAACAAAACAACAAGAAAGCCCACTGCATGGGAGAACATATTTGTCAATGTTATATCTGATAAGGACCTAATCTCCAAAATTTATAGGGAACTCATACAACTTAACAAAAGGAAGATAAACAATCCAATCAAAAAATGGGCAAAGGACCTAAATAGATACCTTTCAAAAGAGGACAGTCAGAAAGCCAAGAGACATATGAAAACATGATCAAAGTCACTAATCATCCAAGAGATGCAAATCAAAACAACAATGAGGTACCATCTCACACCTGTCAGAATGGCTATCATCAACAAATCAAGAAACGACAAGTGCTGGAGAGGATGTGGAGAAAAAGGAACACTCGTGCACTGCTGGTGGGAATGCAGACTGGTGCAGCCACTATGGAAGACAGTATGGAGTTTCCTCAAAAAACTACAAATGGAACTCCCATTTGACCCTGTGATCCCACTTCTAGGAATATATCCCAAGAAACCAGAAACACCAATCAGAAAGGATATGTGCACCCATATGTTCACAGCAGCACAATTCATCATAGCTAAGATCTGGAAACAGCCTAAGTGCCCATCAGTAGATGAATGGATTAGAAAACTGTGGTACATCTACATGATGGAATACTATGTTTCTTTTAAAAAAAGGAACTCTTACCATTTGCAACGGCGTGGATGGAACTGGAGAGCATTAT